ATCATTCTGTGACCCTTGAAAACAAACGAGTAATGGATGAGGTCATGCATTCAGCTAACTCAAAACAAAGCCTCAGTAGGTGTTGCTAAGGTTATGTTTAGATTTCATTGGGGGTTTCAACTCCTTCTATTAATACTTAAGCAAGAAATACAATGGTTTCTGGAATTGCTTAAATCAGTAAAATGTTTATGTAAATACTGGATGCTGTTCTACTTCAGAATCCCATGCTTTTCCATGTGTTGGCTCTTATTTTACACTGTCAGCATTTGTGTGTTATTTCCAGCCTCATTCCTCAAACACTGACATGTTTGGACAACAAATTCATCTGTTTTAGAATTATGTGACATGTGGCATAAATCAATTACAAAATGTAACTTATTATGGTAGTAATTATTATTAACAGGGCCATGTGTGTGGGATATGTCATACTGATTCACACTGATTAAATTTAATCACATTATTTCAAATATGTGACTATGTTTAGTACGTAATGATAAACTTTTTTTAAAGAAGTTTTACTTTTTCATCTGAATATTATTTACATGACCCCATTTCATCACCATCAGCACAAATAAAAAGCAAGAAGACTGACTAGTTAAGGATGTTATCAAGCTATTTTATGCAGATGTTCATCCCCATAATTCTCAACCATGTTTTGTACATGTTGAATGATTTTCTGTGATTTATTACAAGGCACACCAAAACGTACTATTGTAATCAGTGTTGGGGAAAGTTACTTTTAAAAGTAATGCATTACAATATTGCATTAAAAAGTAACTAATTGCGTTACTTAGTTACTTTTTATGGAAAGTAATGCATTACATTACTTTTGCATTACTTTTTGTCACCTGGGCTGGGCTTGCTTATTTATTTTTAATAACAAAAATCCCCAAAGTTATATTTCTGGCAACTCTAAAGGCCCTTTCACATCAAAAGTGAAATTAATAAGCCTCATCCTGAAGGAAGTGTCTCTGTTTCTGCACTTACTCCCCATTTATTATTTGAAAAAGTAACTCATATATTTACTTGTAAATTTAAAAGTAATGTGTTACTTTACTAGTAACTTGAAAAAAAGTAATCTGATTACGTAGCTTGCTTTACCCCAACATCAAAAGGCTAAAAAGGTCTCTTAAGCCATAAAACCCCAAAGATCATGCATGATTCTACGCAGACGCTACAATTGTAATACTACCACAGTGTACTCAGTTATTTATTCAATTTATTGTATAAGCACATTAATTCCAGTCTTGCTGTGACAGGGCTAAAATAACATAGGGGTTAGTTATTATAAAAGCTGTTGATACTTGAGAAGGCTATAACCACATTTTAGCATTAGTGGTAGTAGTTAAACAACCAACCACTGAAAAAACTCATATTTGTTGACTTGTAAACTGAATGTCATGGGGGGCACATATATATATGGTGATATATGGCAGTTGTAACCCTGGTGGGAAAATATGATTTCTTGAAAGTAAATATAAAAACTTCCCTTTGGCACAAATGACAGGTTACTGAGAATAAACCAGTAATGATTTCTCTTGAATCTTAAATCTTGTTCTTGAATCTAAACTGACATGCACATTTGATTTAACTGGAAGAACCCGCTTTTTTTTCTTGCTTTTTTGTTACATGGGTTATAAAAGTTTAAAGAGGCAGCACATTTTTTTGGCTATACATGAACTGTCTTATTTATAATGTGTCATGCATTTTTTCCAATTTATCATCTATGCATCTCTCAACTGAAACTGCAACTAATAACATATGATTTGCTTTATTTTTTCCATCTAAACATAATAGTGTGAACAAACTGCTATAGTAGTTCTAAAACAGTTTCCACAAATTTGCATAAAATGTCTCTTTATTGTTTTTGAATTTAATATATGTTTAATACAAAATCTCAAGAAGAATATGGTTCAATATGATTCTGGGTGGCGTGGTCCAAGTAACTGCATTTCCATCCAAACACACGGAAAACAGTCTGTAATCAGTTTCCACGCCCTGCTCCAGTACATCCATGCACACTGGAATGAAATGGTGCTTATCGTGATTCGTGCCAGTGCACAACTCATTTCAAAAGCACAGACTAATACAAATGACTCATTGTCATGTGCTAAAGGTCACATACCAATAGATACGGGGGGCCATGTTTTTGCATTTACAATGCTGTCACATGACCTTCACAGGGCCATCTATGCAGGCCATAAAAACACCTATGAAGACAGCAGAGGTCAGATGTTGACAAAATGTAGAATTTTGTTTTTACTCTAGTCATGTAGATTTAGTGGTGTAAAAAATAATTAGGCAGAAGGTTTTGAAATGCGATCAGCTGTGGAGGAAAACTAAAGTAGTCTCTAAAGTTCCCAGTCAAAATGCTGAGTAAAAACAACCCAGAGTATCCTTAAATAAATTTACTACTCCTATGTGAATGTACCACTTGATGTCAAAAGATGATATATGAGCAGGTCTACCAAGAGGTCAGGGCTTTTCCAAATAACAAGAGCAGCTTGCTCAGAGAACACACACCAAATATGGCAAGATGTAGCATATGATGCCTCTGGGTGAATCTCACACTCGCACACAAAAATTCTGTTTGTGTGAAAAGGATTGTCTTTTATCATATTGTCATTTCAATGGCATAGCCTGGCATACTGACGACTTAAACTTTTTGGGAGAATGATGTTGGGAGAATGAAGTTTCCTATGGTTGCGTAAAAATGGAACGGCACTATCAACACACAGTTTGTTTCTGTTCTGTCAACACAGAATTGACTGTCTCAAGGACCAGTGAGGTCTGACGCAGTGCCTCACACACACGTTCGAGCTTACGTACTAAGCATATTTAATGCACACTATAAACGCGGTTTACTTGCATGCCGGGTTATTGGTTTGCATGTAAACCGGGACAACTGGTTATTTCAATAAGCTTGATTTTTGTGAGTTATCAGTATATTGGTGTGCATGTAAACATGCTCGTTGTTTTGCTTTTTTCATGTGTACTCCTCTGATCACGATCTGCCACGCCTGTCGCATGCTTTAATTTATGATGGGCAGCATCTCCTATGATCAGGGCCTAAAATTAACATTCGCCAAGCACCAAATGTGATTAAAAAATGGCGTTGGCAAGTATATTAAACAGTGTTACTCGCCAATTGGACAGTAACTTTTTTTATGTTAATTCAATAATGCCTGAGAACATGATATGGTTTAGCAAAGATTGCATTGTAATTACATATAGATTTTTTTTATTGATTTTTTTTGTCTTTTGCGACCTACAAGAATATGACGTGTGAATTGTTTGTGTGTGTGTATTCTATTAATCAATATTAGAGCCCGATCGATATATCGTTTTGCCGATTTTATCGGCCGATATGAGCCTGTCGCAGATATGCCGCGTTCGCGAGATAGTGACACCAGCCAAACTTTTCACTTCAGTAAAGAGGTATCTTGTTCAGGCAGAAGCATTCAAGAGGTGTCTTCACGACTCAGAGTCAAGCGTTGTCTTAACAGTAAGTTGCTAACTAATTTGTGCGGTGGTGGCTTGAGTCTGTTGAAAGGTGATTTAGCGCTACGCTGTCACCTAGTTGGTGAGACGCGATGCTATTAAGCAGCGATTCTTAATCCTGGTCCTCGCGACCCCCCGCTCTGCACATTTTGTATGTTTCTCTTACCACTTCAGACATTTGTTCTATTCAACTGTGAGTGCCCTGCGAAGTGGACTTCACGGGATATCCTGCCATGATTCTGAAGGGAACGTACATGTTACATTCAAAGGGCATTAAAGTGCGCGAGACGTGAATTTAAATAGTATTTATTTACAGATGTAGGCTATATAATGTCACACTTCTCTGTTCACTTCTCAGTTTTGTCTGTGTGTGAAGACAGTAGCGTAGCGCAAATCTGTCTCTAATCCATATTAATAATCATTATTACAATATAAAGAGCAACAATCAACAATAACAATTTTGTCATGAAATTACAGCCCTACACTATAAAAAAATATTTTTTTAACATTTTATTATTACACTGTTGTGTAACTACACGTATGCCACCTTTGAGCAGCATTAAGTAGTCTATGTGAATAAACATGCCATGTTAGATGTAGCTTCTGTTCCACCACTTAAAGATGACTTTTGATGTTGATAAAATTCTATCTGTAAAAGTCTACAGTATTCTGACTAATTGAATTAACTGGTTAACTTTAAGTATTTGACATAAAAGACAACACAGAAGGTATTTAAAAAAAATTAACCTTTCCAAGGCAAAAAAAAAAAAACCTTACCCCAGTGGGCAAATATTGCTCTTTAATAGAAAAGTTAATTTCTAACCTTGCTAAGAAGCAATATCAGCATGCATGCATGACTCCCTTCATCATCATATTACATTTTAATTGATTATATTAAATAGGAAAAAAAAGCAAAAGTTTGTTAATGGGGATTGTTAATGGATTTCTTTTTTTCTCTGTGTACAGTGTATTATAAATGAGAGATTGAAAAATTGTGACATATTATAAATCATTCCATTGGTCAGGCAGAGCCTTGGACCAGCCTTGCACCAAACTCACACGATTGGTTGAGCCAGTGTTGTTATGTCTGGCCTAGACGGCTCGCTCAAACAAAGAGTTCACAATAATATCGCTATCTGTACAGAAATTCCACCTTTAGGTATTACTGACCGTCCTGGATTACATAATAAAACACTTATAGAAGTTCACGAGCACTCAGGCATTTTTCAAACTCTCAGAAAAAAGGTACAAAAGCTGTCACCGTTGTGGTACCCTTTTCAAAAGGTACTAAGATGTACCATTTAGGTACTAATATGTACAGTTTAGGGATTAATATGCACCATTCAGGGGTTAATAAGGCACAAAAGTGTACCTTTTAAAAAGGTACCGCCCCAGTGACAGCTCTTGTACCATTTTTTTCTGATAGAGAAGGAAACAGATGTGCATGTCGTCTCATATCTTTGCACCATGTGGATGTATGGAGAGTAAGGCAGATATACCTGCTGATGGCCAACACAAGCTGATCTGTGCAGGCTTTAATGCGGTTCTGAGCCTCCATGTGTGTCATGGTCTCTGTGCTTTCTCCATTGATGGCTAGGATGGTGTCTCCAGGGCACAAGTTGCCCAGCGCTGCTTTACTCGCAGGTGTTATCTAACAAAAGCCAAACAGAAAAGAGGTTAAGGAAGCACCACACCCAAGACAAACACTGCAGCGCCTGCAGCCAAAGGTACCATTACTGACTGACTGGAAACCATCTGTGAGACAAAGCCAACAACTAGACCAATGACATATGATCAGTCACAAACTTGACTAATGTGAAATGTAATGACTATTCATTGTGATGCATCCACGCTTATGATGCAGCTCCATAGTTATTGTAGCTCTGATTAGTTAGCTTTTTTGACTCTATAAGTTGCAAGACCTTGCCTGTCAAAATTCAATTCATATTGCTTGGCGTAAATCTCACAATGTCTAAATCATTTCATCCTCCCCATAAAAAAATAAAAAAACATTTTGCATAAAGATCCAAATTTCCCCCATAAATGCTCATTACTTTAATGTGGGATAAAACTTATTACGCTAACATCAATAAATAAATAAAGAAATAAATAAAAAGATCAAAACATTATTGCAATGCGAAAAGAAAACTCATTTTCATCACTACAACTTAATACAGCAATTAAAAACATCTTGTCAAAACACTTTTTTTTTTTACTATTAAAAAAGCATTAATTACATTTAGTACAACAATCAGTACATTTACTGTAAGTACTGTGTAAGGGTATTATGCATTATCTGGGAATGAAACCAATGACCTTGGTGTTGCAAGCACCATGTTCTCTTTATTTACATTCAATATTTTTGGACAGAAGTTCACCAGTATTCTGTCAAATAAAAGCTCAAGGATTTGAAATGTTATAAGATTGAGTGCTTGAAAGAACTTTAGACATAAACAGTAGTATTGTAGTGTGAAATAAAATTGTTATAATTATTATCACATTTTTTATTTTTACTTTGCAGTAAAAATTTACAACAATATATTTGTCTTCATTTTTTTTATAATTAGTATTAAAACATACTACTACTACTACTACTAGTACTACTACTACTAATATATATATATATATATATATATTAATATTTTATCAAATAAAAACAAAACTTACTAAAAAAGATGAAATATTTTATCTGTTTACTTGCATGTCATGTGACCATTAACTGTTATCTGAGAATTCAACATGTCATTAAATTATTAAAATATTAACCTAAAATCTCAAGGGATATATCAAGTAAATATTTTACATATACATATACATTTTACAACATAAAATGTTTGGGAACCCCTGCACTATATTGTACACTAGAAGTGTTCTGAGGTTATAAGAGTACTGTGCACGGAACCATGTGAAAAAGTCTTTATTAATCAATTTTCTGCCTCTTCCACCATGATTTGCGTGGAAAGGATTAAAAGTTGCTGGTGTTTTACTGCCACTAGTGGTATTTCAGCTGGAAACTGCAGTGAATTGTAAGTATAGGTAAGTTTTTCCAATGAGCCTATGTTGGATTTTTTTTTTCCTTTACAGTAATGATTTTTTTTTTTTTTCTGACAATGGGGAAGGAAATAATGAAGTCATGAAAGGAACATCATAATGCCAAAGATCTTTATAATAAAAATGATTAAAAAAGGCATATAAACTATGTAAAACAAAGTTTCTTGCCTTTTCTTTTGATTTTATGGAGAAATATTTCTAGACAATGGTTTTAATGACAAGCAGTTTTCATGAGAAGCAAGAACCACAATATTCTTTTTTTAAAAGTACTTCAAACAATTACAGTAAACAATTGCTGAATTCCTTCAAAAAGGCATTTATGTGTTAGACTTCCGTTGCTCATATTCTCTACACATGACAAATATATACAAATGTTTTGTAGTAAATAATATTTATTTTCATTTCATTAAATTTTAAAAGATTGATTACATTGTTAAAGTTTTATTAATTTGTTTAATTAGACACCATTGTTTTTATGATACATTTGTATTGAATCATAAAACACAGAATCCAGGAATAAAATAAAATGGAAAACTAAATTTAGTGGAAAATAAAACAGATTTCATGGCGGCCCTAAATTAAAAGGGAGCTCTGTGGAGTTTAATTGTGAACAAACAAATGATCTTTATTCATTCTCAAGGTCTAAGAAACATGTGGAGTATTTCCTTCCCCATTAATGCTAAATGAATATTGTGATAAATACTGACATTGTATGATATAGAAAAAAATAAATTGTGATAATATTTTTGGCCATATCGCCCGGCCATATTTAAAAATAATCTAAAATTCTTTGATACTGAGATACAGTTACTAAGATCCACTATAACTACATACTGTGTAGATACAATGAAGTTGAAGTATTCAGAGACCTCTAAATGTCGCACAAAAGCCCAGTTTAGACGTTAAGTCAGGAAATTGCCTGAAATTGTTCCTAAGTGCAGGACACTTGACTTAAGCACCGAGGGCTGTTGTTACGAGTGGGATTTAGCCTACCTCAAAGTCATTAACTGCATGACTATATATCAGCAAACAGCCTATAATAAGCCAAGCACATATGTACAACCCTAAATATTTAGCAAACGGAAGCTCCTGACCTACTAATAAGGCTAATTCATCCCATTTAACAAGCTTCATTGCCTGTCCTGAGTCATCCTAAAACACATGGGCCTGGTTTCACAGACAGGGCTTAGACTAAACCAGGATTAGGCCATAGTTCAATTAGGACATTTAAGTAATTTTTCATAAACGTGCCTTAGAAAACACATTACTGGTGTGCATATTGAGACAAAACAAAGGCACTGATATATTTTAAGATCAGTCAGTGCAAGTTTCTTTCAGTTGACACAGCTCAGATTTACATTTTAGTCTGGGATTAGGCTTAAGCCTTGTCTGTGAAACCGGGGGATGGTGTTTTATCTTGAAACATTTTGGTTTACCCTGCTTTGACAATTACTAGTTACAGAGGACAAATCATGCGATGTGACCTTACACTGTCAGAAAAAAGCTACAAAAGCTGTCACTGGGGCGGTACCTTTTCAAAAGGTACAACTTTGTACCTAAAGGGTCCATATTGGTACCTAAAGTGTTCATATCAATACCTAAAAGGTACAAAAGTGTAATGCCCTAATGCCCGTCCGGTAAAGCGTTTTATTTATTTAGGGTGCGCTGCAGGCCTGCTTGTAATAAAATAAAATGTAAAATACACAAATAACATTAAGATGTTATTTAACTTGTGTTTCTGAATAAATAAAGCAGTAATTGATGTCATAAAATTATGAGTCTGTTAAGGTTACAACTGCACCTGTCTGAAACAAAAAGCAGACAGCAGAGATTGATTTATTAGTTTCAAAGCTTTCAATGTACTGTCACTATAAAAATAACTTTAATCATTTAGTTCTGACAAGTACGTTTTTGATCAAAACGAACCAAATTAAAAAATAATTTGTTTATAATCTCTACACAGGAGAAACTTGGTGTTGTTTTCAAACAAAAGGAAATATATTGACTTCGGCTATCGGTCAAAATGAGTTCAAAAATATAAGCATATCAGATATCGGCAAAAATCCAATATCATGCATCCCTACTTAAAATGTTTAATGATTATAATGGGAATTCTATGAAAAAAAAACATGTATACTAGGGTGCTAAGAATGCTTGGTTCACTGAAAACTCACTGAAAATTGGATATAAAGAGTGAAAAATGTTGTTTTCAATGTACCACAATGTCATAAGCGGTTTACAACAACCTATCCTGAGCACAACTGCTTCCAGACCAAATGCTTCACATTTGTGATAAACAGAGAAAAATCAATCATTACTCTTAAATTCTTATGACACAAAGTTCCAAAAAACACTTTAGTATAGAGCAGCTGTTGTAAACCGGTTTACCTTCAGGATCCAGATTTCACACTGAAGTCCCAAAGAATAACCAAATATGCTTACCATGCAACAGTGAATCATGCTTTCGTTGTGGTCAGCACAAACCATGTTTATCTTTGTTGCAACTGAACCCGTGTTTACTGTAAACTGGAACATATTTTGCTGAACGTTTGTTATTTTGTATTGTTTTTCAAGGATGGAGGCACGTCACGCAACCTGTCAGTGCTCGCATCTGCCTAGCTTCTACCTTGCGACACATGAATTTGCACTAAAATTGCATTGAGTTTTTTGGGCAATCATTGTTTGAGTAGGCAATCCTTGGCATTTTAGCATTGTTTTTTCCCTATCGTCCATGACCCTGTCTGAATAGAGCAGCGACCCATTTTTTTTCAGTTGCAACCGACCAGTTGTATAGAGCATTTGAACAGACATTCAACTTTAACAGTGTTGCTTGGCAAAACACCCATGACGCTGAACAATTGTGAACTTTGATGAGTCCTGTGTTTGAAAATCTCCTATTTGCTACTTAATCTCATTTTGAATAATGTCACATGGCTTCCTGGAATGTGGCTATGCTACGAATGCAGAGCTGAACGACTGTGGACAATGAGCTGCAGCGTGCCAGCATTACTGCATGCCCTTACAGAGCAATAACAAGAGGAAGGCCCTGGATGCAATAAATTAATCCTGTGAAATCCCCAAGGGAGCCAGCCAGACATTGAAGATTAACAGAGTAAATATGTTTCTAAGACGGTGCATGCTTAACCGGTTCGGACAACTTTAACATTTATCGTAGGAATGAAAGATTCAGATCTTTTCAGTTATTTTGAAGTGAAGACTTGGGAAAGAGTAGTGAAACATTGCCTTCTGTATGACACAGGGCTGTGAATTCCTGTGAATGGATGGCCACATTTGTCAGTCTGGACAAGTGCTGACAATTTGTTATGTATTGCATTGGGCAGTGATTCAGTCAGCTTTTACCTCACCATTCTCACATCCACCAGGAAAACACCAAATGTTCAACCCATTAGCTCAGAAGCAAAGGCATTTTACAACAAGCCGATGGCTCGAGGTTGTGGAGACCCTTTTGCTATTGTAACTGCAGATTTAAAAACAACGTCTTTATATTACCAATGCATCTGCCACATTATCTGAATCAGCGGTCCACATTCGTTTGACTAAAACTGCATCTTGGGTTGTGTTTAAACTTTTCCACTTGGGAGGTTTTCCATTTTTGAATCTGGAAAAAATGGCTATTTTGGCAACAGACAACTTAACATCTGCAACCCTAACAAGACACTTAACAAAACCTGTGGCTGACCTGTTAATTTCAGCATGTACTGGGAAACCACAGTGCCAGATGAAAACCTTCAGGATGTGATTGCAAAATATCCAAAGCTGAGCCTTCACTTTACCCGTTTCATACTCAAGCCTGTGGTGCTGATGAGCCTTTCACCAGCTTTCAGTACGATCAAGCTGCTATCTTTACAAGTTGCAGATGTTTTGTTGGCCTGCACAACATCAAAACTGATCAACGCAGGGTTCTTACTCTGGCTAGGGGTTATTTTATTTGTATAGGATCTGGATTTGGATTTTTTAGCAGCTCCAATAAACAACTAGAAAACTGCACCTGCATCCACTCTATTTATTTATTCACTGGACGGGTGGATGGATGGTTGGAGTAGACTAAACATCCACGACCATTTCATATCACAGATAAAGAAAGCCCTGGCTGGCTGTAAATATTAATTGGTGAAAACCAGCTGCCGCTTTTCTAAGGCAATGTAAGTGGAAGGCAGCTGAATAAGATTTCTTCTGGCATAGACATTTACTGACCACAAATGTGCAGTAAATGATAGCGTATGTCGAGCATGATTCAGCTTTTCATTTATTTGAGAAGCATCGAAGTCAGTGCCCAAAGAAATGTTAAAATCACAAAGGAGATCTCCGAAATATCTTGAATGTTTCTCATAGACCTCTCCTTGAAGTGACAATTTGCCCCAAAATCTAAATTCTGTCATCGTTTACTCACCCTCATGCCATTCCAAACCTTCTGTTGAACACAAAAGAAGGTATTTTGAAGAATGTGGTTAAATGGTAGCCACTGACTTCCATAAAAAATACTATAGAAGTCAGTTGATATTGTCAACTGTTTGGTTACAAACATTCTTCAAAATATCTTCTTAAGTGCTCAGCAGAAGAAAGAAACCCAGCGTTATGGTGAGTAAATAATGCTGTCATCATTTTCATTTTTGGATGAACTTTCCCTTAAAGTCTCCTGCTTTTTACATTTTTCTCCTCAATCTCTTGACTGAGCCCAAATTGTCAGAGGTTTTAATATGAACTCAAACATTTAGACAAAATGATCTGACCAGTGCTATTAATTTGACAGCTACATGCTTAAACTGTAAGTCAACAACTGTCTCGTGTTTCTCCTGTTATTTCTCTTGAGATTTTAGAGATGATGTTGATATTTCAATGGAACCGACCCAAGAACCCAAGAGCAACTAGTATGTTTGCCTGACACAGCGGTGTGAACAACAAAATCAGGTCAAATTAAAATATTGAAGTTACAGAGTGGGAGGCAAATGCGAAGACGGTCACTATCTTTACTTACTGTAACCGAACAAAACAACGTAAAATAAAAAAAGAGTTGGTAAGTAGTTCATAGAGACGTAAACCCAAACGTTCATGTTACATCGTTACAGTGAAGTAGCGCGTGAAGAGGCCCTCGCCTCACTGTGAAAGAGTTCATCATTAAAGAGAAAAATAAGAAAAGACGTACTTTTGAAATGGTGAGCGGTGTGCTGAAGTCCCGTCCACCCACCAGACGAAAACCCCACGGCGAGGGACCGGTGAGAGTCACAGTGTGAGACATATTTGATTCAAACAGTATCCACAGCAGAAAAACTGCGCTCTCCTCATTCACTCTTTAAATAAAACTAGTGCTGTCGAGTGAGGAGGAGCAACTCACAGCGCTGCAGGGGGAGGAACAGCGCCGCTATGACAACCATACACAACTTCACACCAGACACACAACTCATTCAGAACCATATGCAAATTAACATCATACACAATGAAACCTTTTTAGGACGAGAAAGATTTAAAACCCAAAACAGCTCAACTGCTTTTAAGTGACGCTCTTAAAAATAAAGCACATGTGGTTCATTGAAGAACCTTTTTATTCCACAAAAGGTTCTTAAACACATTTCATTACACCAAATACACAAAATAATGTTCTTTTTAGCAGCATCATATGACCCCTTTAAAGAAGTGTAGCTCCGCCCCTTTTCAGCGCTGAGCTCATTGTCTTCTGTCTTCTGTTTTTATTTCCACAGCGTGAATGTCGTACGTATTTATGAATGGCATTTGTTTTAACATCCGCATCGAGCATTACAATGCTCATGATAACGTTCGTTAACTCTTCAGTAAGTAAACCAACTTTACATTGTATTGGTTATTTATTTGATAGGGACAATGCATGTTAATGAACATTTGTAGTAGCCTAATACAAAATGTAAACAAGCCGGATTATAGCAACATTGCTAATTTACATACACACAAAGACACAAACTCAAATACACATAGGCTACACTACATAAAAGACTTAAGACCCCAACACATATTTAAAATGTCTAAATAAAATGTTTACACAACTGATTCGTCATAAGCCAATGTTTAAAATGATCTTTAAAGGTATGATAAGTAGAACATGTCTTATTGACTGCGGTAAGCTATTCCAATATTTACTCCCTATTACAGACAATACTTTCTGTCCAAAAGATGTTCGCTTATATGGCACCTCACAGTCCCCTCTAATAATAGACCTATAGTACCAATACTACAATCTGTCCTTAGGTTTTATACATTCATTTAACGGAGGGGGAGCAAGCCCATACCAGACCTTATAAATAAAACAAGCATATTTAAAAAATTTAAAATTTTCAAAACTCAATAGATTGTGTGTGTGTTTTTTTTATTTTTATGTTACAGTAATGAAATGACAAGGGTTTTTATCTAACACTATTATCGCCTTCTTATACAATGATTCTATTGTCTTTAGGGTTGTGCCACTTATAAATGACCAACAAAAAACCATACTCAATATGTGAAAATATCATTTAGTGTAAATACAACCTAGAAGCACCGACTGTCAAAAATGACCTAATGTAGGCTACTTAAAATTCTTTAAATTAAACTTGACAATATTAGACAACTTTTTCACGTGACTCTTTCAACGGAAGTTCAAAGACAAAATTCTAAAAATGGCTATAGTAGGAAGTATAGTGGTCTATAGGAGGAAAAAAGCATTATGTTTGCCATTGTTATTTTTCTTTCTTTCTTTTTTCCCCCATTTTGTGTGGCATCATTTACACTTTGACTTGTTCACTGTACTCCAGACAATAATTGTAAATAAGACACACAAAATGGTCAGCAGTGTTCATATGAATGAATCACGGCATATTTATCCAACATGACCAACCTAACTTGAGACAAAAAAAAAAGTCTCATTAGTTTGGTCACGCTGCAATAAAACAGCCAACCCCCACATGCATAATCCTCACCTTTCTCAATAGTTTTATCTTTGCAAACATCAGTCAAACCATAAGGTTAAAGTCAACGCTGTTCGTATCCATCTTCCTTGACCTCAGCTCTCCAGAACATTGTTTTTCCAAACAACTATCCAATTGGCGGAAAGTCAAAATGAATAATTTGCTTTACAGTATGAGATTTGGAATGCTAATATAGATTTCATAACCAATTCCTGAAGGCAATGAACATACTGGAGAAAATTAGACTGTTTAATTCATGTCGTTAGCATAATGCTATATGGAATATTAGTAGCAGATGTGTTTGCAGATGACGCTAGTGCAATCATGTCCAACCTCTGAGTACAGTAGGCTTATATGTGCTTGAACACACGCAGGGAGAGCCGGGTGGAATAGAAAAAAGATCAAATGTAGGGGCTATTCAAAGACTTTACATACAAGAAAAATATAATATCTATTCTTCAAAGTTGAAGTAACGCATTTTGACTTTTCATGAATAGCATATTGTGTTTGACAGATGGTCCTGTTTAATACTTAATAGTGTTGTGTGTTAAAAAAGGAGTTGATGCAAGTCACATATGCAGAGCAAGTGATGAATACTCTACAACAAACAGCCTTGGGCTTTTCATTGGTTGATTCTGTGCTTCCTACCTCATTTCCACCTCATGCTCACAGCATGTGACACTGCCTTGGACTTGAGTGGACTGATTGCTGCTCCGTTTTGACTTATAATAGCCTTCAGAATGGAAGAAAGTAGGTACAAAGTGCAAGGAACCCTTGTGAAACAGAAGTGCACTTTAGCATACTATTAAAACGAATGCTTAATAAACTTTAAAAATATGGTAACACTTTAGTTTAGGGACCGATTCTCACTATTAACTAGTTGTTTATTAGCAAGCATATTACTAGCATATTGGCTTCTTATTAGTTCTTATAAAGCACATATTAATGGCTTATTCTGCATGACCATATTTTAGATCCCTTATGGAAGAATTACTGTTGTGTAAAGTGTAATGCCAAATATACTGACAAGCATTTATAATACACTAAAATATGCTTATGTAATTTTATTGATATAAATAGTTATCATTACACATTTGTAATGATGAAGTTGCAATTTATTACATTTAAAATATATTAAAGGGGTCGTATGATAAGATTTCAAGTTTTCCTTTTTCTTTGGAGTGTTACAAGCTGTTCGTGCACAGATAAGATCCCTGAAGTTGCAAAGACTAAAGTCTCAAAACCAAAGAGACATTCTTTATCAAAGTTAAGACTCTGCCACGCCCCCCTAAAACGGCTCGTTCTAACACGCCCCCACATATCTACCTCACTATGTGGAAATATTTGCATAATGTGGCCCAAATGTGCAAGGAGGGGGCTTTGTAGAAAACGAAGCGTTTGAGAGAGGCGGGGCATAGAGGACCTACAATAATGTACAGTATTTCAAAAAGAATGTGTTTTTTGAACATTAAAGCATGTCAACATATTCTGTTACACCAAATACACCAAATAATGATCTTTAAAAAAGCATCATATGACCCCTTTAACTTTAAATGTGTAAAAATTCTGAACTGCTGAACTATCCACTGCAGCTTTCTTATTTTATTTATTTTATTTGAACAATGTTATGACCTTGGCCTCCTATAGCCCCACAATGGTTTATACGGTTTGACATCCAAGTAGGGTTCACACATGGGAGCTGATGGTCTGCGAGATGATAACATGTAAAGTTCCTATGAATCATTGACAAACGCATACAAACATATGGAAAAGAGAGGAACCTGGCATGGGAAAAGAGGGTATCGGATCAAAGGTTTAAGATTAACCAGAACAGTCATAAATGCTTACAAACCATGACTCCTTTGTCAGGTCCTGACAGAACAAGGGCTGAATCTGCTCAGGACGCTTCAGAAGGCTTTGCTGATTTGGCTCATTTGATTTGGTTTTCAGCAACAAATGAGAGTATAATTCTGCACCCTCACCTTTGAGATAACGTTTTCTTTTATCATTGACCATTTATGACTGCGGTTTAAAAAAGGTCAACATTAGATACACTTCAGAACATAACAAATATAGAGAGATTTTGTAGCTTCTTACTAAACATTGCTGAAATCATAGGCATTAAAAACACTGTATCAATCATTACCACACAAATGATGTCATGCCTATTATTATTCCACTCCCATTTAACACAAATGGATGTCACTTTACACAGACATTCAGCTTCACAATAGAGAGCTTATAAGTGTTCTAGCCGAGGGCAAAGTCGAGTCAACACAAGGCCAAGCTTGTTAATACATACAGTACTTAGTGAATTTCTACATCATTCTGTTTATATCTACTGTGGTGCAACAAAATTAACACTTCTTTCAAATTAACAATAGCTTTTTCACACACACCACCAAATAAATAAATAAACAGTTGCACTTTCTTCACGTTTATGTGAGTCAATATTTCTTTCAAGTTTTAAGTTTTTTCTTTTTTATGTTTTCAAGCTTTTATTTTGACGGGTTTCCGTCAAGTAAGTATATGCGCTGTCAGTTTTAGCGCTGCAGCGTCATTGAATGAAATGTCACAGTTTTGCGTTTTGTATCATGGTTGCATTTTTCTTTCTTTCTTTTTTTTTTTTTTTTTTTTACAATTCTTGATACCACTTACCATAGCGGAAACTAAATCTAGGCTAACTAACATAAGTGCAATATAAAAAAGTCTTCAAGACAAGTAAACAGTCATTAATAAAAAAGTAAATAAAATTACTAACAATACAACAAATAAAATAAACGATGCTTTAAGTTTTCATGTAAGTCAATCTAACAGTATAGTATTCAGTTAATAGCCTACTGAATGTAAAAATAAAAAACGGCATAGTTTTCACTGTATGAATTAAATATACATTTATTCTTATTAAAGCTACTAAAGTTATTCAGTCAAGAGCAGTGAGTGTTTTTTTCTTGTTTTGTTGCAATTATATTAGGCTGCTGTCATTTTAATACTGAATAAATATATTTAATAAATCTTTTTAATATCAAATACATCCCACACTAGACTGCATTTTTTATGACAGCCACATTACATAATCTGACTGATTTGGACGCAACCGAATGCGGCACGTGAATCGTTTTATCTTGATTATCCTGCTTACATAATTGTTGGAAGACAAAATAGCTGAAGCTAAAATACAATGAATCGCACAGCCCTAGGTTAAGCTGTATATTTGATATATAATTATACAGTGTCACACTAATAAAAAAATTAACTCAAATGAATGTTTCATGTCTGTTTCATGTTTACTCATTTGCCAAGCAGGACACATAAACTCCATCTCAATCACCCTCTTGAGATTTGTTTTGTGGAGCTATTGCAACATCTCAATAAGTCAACAGATGAAGGTCATAAAATGTA